TAAAGTCCCTCCTAGGTCACCTCCTGGACTGTTACAACCATTGCCCATAACTAATGCTCCATGGACCCATTTAGCCATGGATTTCATTGTGGACCTACCCAGCTCAAACGGGTTTAATACAATTCTTATGGTCATCGATAGATTCTCAAAAATGGCACATTTTATACCTCTTAAAAAATTACCATCTGCTCAAGATCTTGTACCGATATTCTTGAGAGAGATCTTTCGGTTGCATGGAGTGCCCAAAAACATAGTATCTGACAGAGGTACCCAATTTATTTCTAGGTTTTGGCGTTCCTTTTGTAAACAATTGGGTATCGAACTCTCATTTTCTTCAGCATACCACCCTCAAACTAATGGCGCAGCAGAGAGAGTCAATCAGTCTTTAGAATCCTATTTGCGCTGTTTTATTAATGCCAATCAGTCTAACTGGTATGAGCTCTTACCCATGGCTGAGTTCGCCAGGAATAATGCGACTCATGAATCTTCTAATCACAGTCCATTTTTTGTAAACCAGGGTTATCACCCCACGGTTTTCCCTTCTGACTTTTCAGATACCGATATTTCCGCTTTGAACACGCGTTTGGATTCTATTCATTGCACTTGGAATTCCGTTCATTCAGCTCTACAAAAGCTACCAGCATTCAGATACTGTATCAGAAATTACCATCCAGATCCATCCGTGCCGGCATCTAAGGTTTTTGTGCAATATTTACCTTTTACCATCTATTTTTGTATTTCATATTTTTGTATTTCATATTTTTCATATTTTTGTATTTTTTAATAAAATTGACCTTGTTTTTTGTAGCTACTCTCCGGCTTTATACTTTTTCTACCACATTGCTTTTTTCAGCAGCCAGTTCTATATACTGGTGTTTGCTTAACATCATTTATTGTAATGTGTATGATGGCAGTTTATATATCCTGAGAGGATTATGCCAATTTATCTTTCAAGCCTATATTGTGTATGGAAGTAAAGTATTAGGCAGTGGTTATCTCTACCCAGAAGTTCTGTCTTTCTGGATTGATAACCTTGCCACACATTTTATTTATCTATTTGAGTATTCTGGTATCATATATATTTTTGATGCTTATTTAGAAGCTCCTGGATTCCTATTGCTGCTTTTTTAGTGGAATACACTTTTAACATTGTTTTAATAGGTTTTTGGTGGATCCCTATTTCTATCCGGTTTAAGAGCTTTGCATGTTAGGTCTTTTTTTTCCCCTCTATTTCTCTGTATATATTTTTTACATGAGAATCACCTTTACTCTGCTGTATAATGCCTGGGTGGTATTTTCCCTTCCGTCCCCTGTACCTTAGTGCCCCCCTTAATGTTCCTCTCTACCCCCCTAGTGTTCTTCCCCCCTCCCCTGTCCCATAGTGTTCTTCCCCTTCCCCAGTCCCATAGTCTTCTTTCCCCCCCAACCATGTCCCATAGTGTTCTTTCCCCCCCACCCATGTCCCATAGTGTTAACATCCTCCCCTGCAACTGTGAAGAGATTTTATATAGGCCTGAATACTGGCATAAAGAATGAAGAACTAAACAGTGTTAATACCAATACAATCAGTAACACATGTAAAAAGTTTTTGTTTTTTTAAATAAATCTAAATTTTATCCATCTAATTTTAAATCAGGTGCTTTGGACATATTTTTTTAAAAAAAATGCAAGGATATAGGAGCCCTGAACAACAGAAAAACAACAGTAACAATTCTAACTTAACAAAAAGAGAAAGGGATAGCCTCAAGGAACTACAAAGAGATGATACGATCGTTATTAAAGGGACACTATAGTCACCCAGACCACTTCAGCTCAATGAAGTGGTCTGGGTGTCAGGTCCCTCTAGGGTTAACCCTGCCTGATGTAAACATAGCAGTTTCTGAGAAACTGCTATGTTTACATCTGGGGTTAAGCCAGCCTCTAGTGGCTGTCTTCCGGACAGCCACTAGAGGCGCATCGGCAATGATTGAGGCATATAATGCCTCAATCACGCAGAGAATGTCCATAGGAAAGCATTGAAAAATGCTTTCCTACGCACTCCTTGAATGCTCTCGCGGCACATTCGGCGCCAGTGACGTCAGACAAGGATGCTGACGTTGGCGGGGGAGGAGAGGTAAGGGAGCCCGGTGGGGGAAAAGGGTAAGTAGCTGAAGGGGTTTTATCCCCTTCCGCGCCATGGGAGGGGGACCCTGAGGGTGGGGGCACCCTCGGGGTACTATAGTGTCCCTTTAAGTTGACAAATAAAGTAGGGGGGATCATGATTTTATCAAAAGAAATGTATGAGGAGGAAGCTTTCAGACAATTAAATGATTCCAATATCTACATGAAATTAGAAAGAGACCCCACCCCTGAGATTAAAGTTTTATTTATTCAGTTTTTAAATAGGGAGAAATTTCGGATACAATGTTATATTTTTTTTATATGAAAAGTCAGGATGTGCTGCACCTTTTTTTTTTATGAAACTAAAAACAAACATAATTGTGCATGAGAAATAGATCCATGGCATGTAGAGACCAAATAGGTAGACGTCATGGTAACAAAACAAGAACTCAATCAATTAATACTTGTAGACAAGCGAGATCATTAAGAGACCATTTGTAGTTCATGAACCAGCTGAATTGGACACCCTAATCCATGAACTCCAGCTCCAGAACAAAAATGCTGAGCAGTGCACAAATTATATACCAATATCACTACTTAACTGTGATTTGGATTTTTTCACAAAAATGTTAGCTACCTGTCTTCAGCTCTTCATCTCCTTGCTGATACCTCTACACCACCCAAAGGTCCTGTGAGACTGAACAAAATAAAACTTATATTTACAAAAAATAAATAAAATAACAAAATAGACAATATTTAATCACACATTGCATGGAATAGAATTAATACCTTCAGATGTGTATTATTATGACAGGATACACAAGGTATATAGATAAATCCAAGTATAACAAGAAGAAGCCCAGCATGCAAAAATGGCATAGATATGTACAGTATTAAAAATATATGCCTGTATTATTAATATGGACACATGAAATATGCTTAATTATATTTTTTTAAAGAAACTTTTAGTATTGCCCAGTGCAAGGTATCCCATGCCCACAGAAATCACGCCAACTAATTAAACCTAAAGGGCATCATGGTGTTTCCATGTTCACATCTTAAATTATTTTTTTAAACTATCTGAAATATATGTAATTTATGGTTAGTAAAGTTACACTTTTCACTTAAACACTTTGATGTTAGGATGTGGAAAAAACATTTCTCCTGAGTTGTGGATAATAAATAACTAATGTGATGTTTATTCAACTATTTTCTATTGTACTCTCTAGTTAAACCCCTTCCACTTCTTACCCAGGAAAGATTGTGTTAACAAAATACCAACAGAATAGCAAATTCAATTCACAATTCTATAAATCCAAACATGCCCACTACAAGAACGAAAACTTGGAAAAACTGCTTTATAGTTTTCATGTGCTATGGACAGGTCTAGAGCAGAACACAAAGCCATATCGCCTGATATAAAATCAAATTATTTAACAATCACTGAACGTGCGTAATCTAGCCAAAATTACTGAAATTGCTCCACTTACACTCGCAAGAGAAACACACAAAAAATCCCCATGAGCTGAAAAGCCTGTTGCAATTATTAAGTAATGAGAATTTTAAAAATATCTTCAGCCATCCCCATCTTTAGAATTGTTCGAATTAAGCACAGGCAATTAAGTGCTGCCCAGGGGCTATTGATGAGAGAGTGTATTAATGTAATTAAAGACAAGGGTTATCAAATGAAATTGCCCTATGTGCACCTAAAACAGAACAAGGTGGTGGTGGATAATATTCTGCTCCTTGAGACCATTCCAAGTACAAAACATATATTTTAACAAGACATATTCAGGACAGCAAGAACTCTTCCACCATGTTGTGATGTGCCTCTGGATTATTAACATGAGTACAGGTTATACCTGCCATCTCAACATCTCAAAGACGGGCAAAGGCATAAAAAGTTCCCCAAACAAAATGATATATCTAGAAAACATGGACACATATTGAACTGCTGACATTAAATGCAGATAATGATGAATTAACTCCTCTAGCACACTCTCCTGTGGCAAGCAGATGAGCTGCCTTAACACCCATGTTACATAGACATGGGCACTCAGAGAACACAGGTTATAACCTCGTGAACAACTACACTGTCCTATAAAATGTATTTATTAGCATACCTATCTATCTATCTAAGATTTGCTTCCTAATCTATTAATATAAACATTTTACAAAATGCAAATAACACCACCTGTCCCAACACGGTTAGTGTAGCACCTCAGTGCTACACTAACCAAGCATAGAATTGAGTCTATACATAGAAAAATAGAAAGTGACGGCAGATAACCATTCGGCCCATCTAGTCTGCCCAATTTTCTAAATATTTACATTAGTCCCTGGCCTTATCTTATAGTTAGGATAGCCTTATGCCTATCCCATGCATGCTTAAACTCCTTTACTTTCTGATATTATTTTTAAACCTTTGTCCCTCTAATTTAAGACTATGTCATCTTGTTGTTCCTTTAACCTTTCCTTGTAAGTTTTATCCCGCAATCCATGAACCAGTTTAGTAGCCCTTCTCTGAACTTTCTCTAAAGTATCAATATCCTTCTGGAGATATGGTCTCCAGTACTGCGTACAATACTCCATGTACATGTGCTATCTATTGGACTTACACAGTGTATAAAGAAACATTTTATTATCCACAATGTGCCAACATGCCATATTTGCATGTGTCAATTAACAAAAATATTAATAACCATTAAGATTTCAAAAATAAACATGCGATGCATTTCCATGCCGATGGCAGGTGAGAGGTCATGACATAATATTTAGAACTGGGTCAACCAACTGCCATTTCTCTTTAAACGCTTGCGAGTTAAAGAGGCTTTTTTAAGTGCACACAGTTTTCACTGTTTTTGCCGTTCTTGTTGGAATTCTACCATCTAACTTCAACTATGAACTTCACGAAGTATAAGAAGATTACGGAGGAAGACCCAGACAGGGACATCAAGGAAGACCTTCATCAAAAGAAAAGGAAGAAAGAAGAGCAGAAAGATGAAGAAGAAAAGCACAGGTTGGACAAAGAAGACAGTTCTGGAAAAAGAAAGAAGAGAAGTAGCGGTAAAAATCAGTTGGGTGAATGTGGGGAGGGTAGTTCATGTTCCATTGTAGAAAAATAAATGAAAAGGGCAGGTTTACAGTGGCAAAAAACTGATTGTTTTCTTCTTAAGATAAAAAAAATAAAGTAATCAAAACTTAAAAATGTAAAACTGCATGTTTATTTTTATGTCAAATTAATTATTGTTGGTAACACTTATCTTTAATGCATTGGGGATATTTTGAATATGGCAGCCTTTATGTTTTTTCATTAGTCAGTCTGTGATACTTTCCATTAAAATCGGAAACATTTCCCAACATATTCTGCCAAAATCACTACTAACTAATTCACAGGGCATTATCCACTAAACAAGTGTATTGTTCGGATAATCAGTTTATTTGCATGTTATATATAATCTATTTTCATGCCAACAGGACAAACCATAATCTACCCAGTGGATCCTGAACTTCTGCTATCGCTAGAGAGATTCACTTTTCATAAAGTACTTGGACAAGGAACCTATGGAAAGGTATATAATGTCCCCAAAATAATTTGTAAGGGTTATTTGAGAGAACACATTAACATTTAGAGTAACAAAAATATCTGGCTACTAAATGGCTGCTGCATATATGTTAAAATAAACATTTAGGCCTTCATTTAACAAGCTTTCCGAATGATTCAACAATGTTAGTAAAGATTACAAGTAATGGATCTGCAGAATTCACCATTAAAATCTATGGCAATTTGGTTTAAAAACACATAATTTGGTCACTTGTATTCCCTGCAAATGGAGCGTTCTTGGAGGTGTTTTAATCTAAAGGGCAGCACATGGTATTAAAGCTATACATGTATATGGTTTACTCACTAAACCGTAACTGGTAGAAGTTGACTACTGAGATGTCTAATTTAGGCTATAATAGCTCAATAATCATCTCTGCTAGTTTGGTCTAAATATTTTAACTGGAATGTCAACTTAATTCACCTTTGGGTTTGTAAACCTGAAAGATGGTGATAGCAAGATATGTCAGCGGCTGTTGTGAATTTTTCTATATTATAACCACTTTAATCTGCTCCAACTGTCATTACATTATCAACTTCCTGGTCACATGACATGATAAGTCAAGTGAACATTCTTAAACATACAGTAACACAGAGCATGGGAGATACATTGCTATACATAGAAACATAGAATGTGACGGCAGATACAGGGAGGAAAAAAAGTATTTGATCCCCTACTGCTTTTGAACGTTTGCCCACTGACAAAGAAATGATCAGTCTATAATTTTGATGGTAGGTGTATTTTAAAAGTGAGAGACAGAATAACAACAACAACAAAAAAATCCATAAAGACGCATGTCAAAAAAGTTATAAATTGATTTGCATGTCAATGAGTGAAAAAAGTATTTGACCCCTTTGACTTAGTACTTGGTAGCAAAACCCTTGTGGCAATCACAGAGTTCAGACATTTCTTGTAGTTGGCCACCAGGTTTGCACACATCTCAGGAGGGATTTCGTCCCACTCCTTTATGCAGATCCTCTTCAAGTCATTAAGGTTTTGAGGCTCACGTTTGGCAACTCCAACCTTTAGCTCTCTCCACAGATTTTCTATGGGATTAAGGTCTGGAGTCTGGCTAGGCCACTCCAGGACCTTAATGTGCTTTTTCTTGAGCCACTCCTTTGTTGCCTTGGCTGGGTGTTTTGGGTCATTGTCATGCTGGAATTCCCATACACGGCCCATTTTCAATGCCCTGGCTGAGGGATGGAGGTTCTCACCCAAGATTTGACGGTAAATGGCCCCATCCATCGTCCCTTTGATGGGGTGCAGTTGTCCTGTCCCATTAGCAGAAAAACACCCCCAAAGCATAATGTTTCCACCTCCATGTTTGACAGTGGGGATGGTGTTCTTGGGATCATAGGCAACATTCCTCCTCCTCCAAACACGGCGAGTTGAGTTGATGCCAAAGAGCTTGATTTTGGTCTCATCTGACCACAACACTTAAACCCAGTTCTCCTCTGAATTATTTAGATATTCATTGGCAAACTTCAGACAGGCCTGTACATGTTCTTTCTTGAGCAGTGGGGCCTTGTGGGTGCTCCAGGATCCCGCCTTCCACACACCATAGTATGCAATCACGCCCTCCACCACAACACACACAAAAATGTGCAATGTGTAAGTATATATCAGTCAAACCACTGCTTTCCCATAGGAAAGCATTGGGAGGCTATTGCGCATGCATGGAAAAACACTGCATTGCACCAATCAGCATCTCCTGATTTCTATGAGGAGTGTTCAGCGTGAATGTCAGTGCTGCACGTTGTGCAACACTGGACTAGGAAGTACCTCTAGTCGCCGTCTGATGAGTGGCCACTAGAGGTATTCCTAAGCAGTAATATAAATACTGAAAGCAATTCGGAAAGATGGAGTAGGGCTGAGCGAACAGAAAATAGAGTAAAATAGTCCCCAAAATCTCACTAGAGCAGCAATAGATGGTCAGGGATACTTGATAAAACGTAGATGAGTAGACTCTTTAATGGGGATAGGTACGTCAGAATGTCTCAAGTTGTTTGTTATATGGAAAACAGAGAGACAGGGGCAACCAGTAGTGCAATAAGTCTAAAAATCCAAAGTGCAAAAATAAAAGGAGGTAGAAAACTTACATTTAAAAGAGCTATGGCCAGCTCTGGTATGAAGGGCGTACAGCGGTATAATCCCGCTTATGGGATATATGAAGAGAGTGCATCTGTCAACACCATGTGGTCATCCAAGGCTCCAAACAGGAATAGAAAAGGCGACAATAGTGCTCTCAATGTGATAAGAAATATAAGTAAAAAATAAATAAAATAATACTCACAAGCATAGAGGAGAAACACTGCTCTCTTGGTAAAGCTTTGGTAGTAAGATCCCCACCTTGGATTTCTTTGAGTACAGGAATGAGAAAATGCCAGGAAAAGGGTCCCAAGATGACGTTGCTTGTGAGGTGAGGTCTCGGAGTCCTCACCCTTCATTTCCGGCAGCGGCGAAAGTGACGTCAGAGCGTGCGGCTACACGCTGGAACACTGGTGGCTGCAGAACCCGTAAGTCCGGCTGAAGATGGTAGCGGGTATTCCAAAGCAGATCCCTGCTAGCCCCCTGAAAGTGGCGAAGGCCAGTGGGTGCAAGCAGGCTGGCAGAGGAACTCACCGGTGCCTATATGGTCGTCCAGGGAGCAAAGAGGGACGCAGGATTCCCCTCATAATACCTGCCCCAGGAGATCAGAAGCAAAATGGTCGGCCAGGGAGCAGGGAGGGACACAGGATTCTCCTCCAAACACCCACCCCAGAAGATCTGGAGGGGCAGCAGGCAGGCTGGCCGCAGTACCTATACTGCCAGGTGGATCGAATGTGGAGCAGATTGACAGACACCTGCTCCAGAACCGAGTGCTGGAGTGCGCTCGCGCTTGGTTAGGGGCAGAGGGGGACTGAGGGCTAGAAAAGGGGGATCAAGGGAAAGTAGTAAAATTGCTGCGCTTAGTGTTAGATCTCTTGGGGCCAATGGGGACCCTCAGCGTTGGGGGTGACGCACAGGACGCTATGTTTCCTGTGGGGGACTCCCCCATTGGGTTACTTCAGGGGGGCCGGTGTGTGACTGTCACGGTGAGCCGTGACATCAAGATGGCCAGACGTGGTCACCCCAGAAGTCCCAAACAGGGGATTTGAACTGTGGTCCATCTGTGTCCTGTTCTTGCTGTTTTGCCTCTGAGCCACAATTCAGTTCTTGTTTTCAGCCTGATGTTTATTCCTGCATTATCTCTAGCACTGCGGGCTGGACTTTACCTGTGGCTGCTCCCATCAATCTCAGCCCATCTAAAGCAGATGCCTAACTAGCCAGGTATAAGACACTGCCTCTCCCTGAGGGCAGTATCAGTTCATTAACTCTGGTTCTGCTGTCTGGTTCCTGTTTTTGTGTATCCAGATCGTTTTGCTCCTGGCTCCTGACCTTGGCTTATTCGCCGTGTATCCTGACTTCTGGCATCCTCTGATCTTGGCTTTCTTACAATGTATCCTGACTTCTGGCATCCTCTGACTTTGGCTTACCCATGACGATTCTCCTGCTTGTGTCCTTACCTGTACTGCGACTTGGAGCTTTTTGGTTGCTCCCAGTTCACCCTACCTGTTTTCATTTGTTGGGGTGTCAGTTTCAGGGGGATTTTTTCTATGACATGTGCCTTCCCATGGGTTGCTCGATTTCTTGTTTATATTTTGAAGTTTTTAATTCCTTGTTGGAGAGGATCGTGGGCGGCTTCTCTTCCCTATCGACGGGTTCTTGTTCGTCGGTCCTGCACATTCTTCGCGGTGTGCTGATTTGTTGGGACGGTTTTGGGCAGTTATGCTAGATTTGGGGGTTCCAGTGGCTGAGGACAAGACGGAGGGCCCGAGGGCGGTGATTTCCTTCCTGAGTATTGACTCCATCAGCTTGGTATTTAATTTGCCTGTGGACAAATTGGGGATCCTTACCACCATGGTTGATCAGGTTAGGGTTGCTCGGAAAGTGCAGCTTCAGCAGATGCAATCCCTGTTGGGGCACCTGAACTTTGCGTGTCGGATCATGCCTATGGGTAGGGTGTTTTGTAGGCGGCTGTCTCTGGCTACTGTCGGCATTAGTCTTCCCCACCACTTTATCCAGGTTACTAAGTGGCATAAGGATGATTTGAGGGTCTGGAGTGAATTCCTAGCGGGGTACAATGGTCGGACGTTTTGGCGACGGGAAGCGATATCTAATGTGGCCTTAGAGTTATTCACAGATTCCTCTGGCTCCTTGGGCTTCAGGGCATTTTTTTGGGGACGTTGGTGTGCAGAGCCTTGGCCACCAGCGTGGCACGAGGCGGAACTCATATGAATCTTGACTTTTCTCGAGCTGTTCCCTATTGTGGAAGCACTGGAATTGTCGGGGGAGGAGCTGGCGAACAGACAGGTGATTTTCCGCATGGACAACCATGAGTGTGGGCCATGCGGTGAATCGCTTATCGTCGGGTTCGTCTCCAGTTTTGGCTCTGTTGCATCGGTTGGTGCTGCGTTCTCTGGAGTTTAAGATTTGGTTTCAAGCGATGCATGTTCCCAGGGTGTCTAATGTTATTGCCGATTCTCTTTCTCACTTTCAGTGGTATTGTTTTTGGGAAGTCGCTCCGGGAGCTAAAGCCGGTGGTCTGGTATGTTCCACGTGCTTGTGGACCCTCGATTTCGGAACCTTGCAGACCTGTTTAGGCGATCGCTATCTCCCGCTTCGCGGACGGCCTATCGGGCAGTGTGGGAGCAGTGGCTGAACTATGCAGGAGAGTTTGGTTTGTATTCCTCTGAGGGTAGGTTGCTGGCTTACCTGTCAACCTCACGGGAGCGTGCATCATCAGCGGCGTCAGTGGAACGCAGTTTAGTTGCTCTTTCCTTTCTGATGCGTTGTATGGGGTAGGAGGACGTTTCTAAAGAGTTCGTGGTCCAGAGGGTGCTTCGTGGTGGAGGAAGGAGAGGATTCCATATTGTAGGCGTCCGGTGTCCATCCACCTGTTGGATGCATTGTGTGGTGTTCTCTCGTCGTTGTACTTCTCCGCCTTCGAGACGCTGCTCTTTCAGGAATCCTTTTCTCTGTGTTTTTATGCCGCGCTGTGGATAGGAGAGTTGGTGGCCGTGTCAGCTAGGGCCCAGCATCTCTCCGGAGGGAGGATGTTTGCGCAGGGCAGGGTGGCATGGAGTTGTTAATTCGGAAGGTCCAAAACAGACCAGCTAGGACGTGGGAGGACAGTTAATATTGGTGCTACTGGGTTAGGTGGTGTCCGGTGGCAATATTTGCGTTCATGGCCGGAGGCAGCAGAGTCCTTTTTGCTTCACGAAAATGGGTCAGTCTTAACTCGTCACAGTTCTCCAGTGTTTTTAAGGCCGGGTTGCAGGCATTGGGTGTGGAGGATGGGGGATACTTTCCCCATTCCTTTCGGATTGGTGCAGCGACGCAGGTGCGGCAGGTAGGGCTGTCCGATGCTGCAATTCAGCGCATGGGTCGATGGGACTCCCGCAGATTTCAGTTGTACATTTGTCCTCACCTGTTATAGGGCTTTGGTGGATTATGCTGTATTTTTTTTTTCTCTATAGGTTCCCCACGATATGTTTGGATCATCAGTCACTCCTTTATTTATTGAGCGGCTAGGCGTGCAGAGCAGAGACCGTACAGACGGAATCTAGGGCTCCTGCACAAGCATGTTAGGGTACGATGGCGGGGGATACGGGGTAGACATGTGCAATTCGTTTCATTCCGAATGTCAATTCGGACGAGTTTCTGGAAATTCGGACATTCAGAGACTTCAGAATGTCAGAATTGACGAAATTCCGAAATTGCCAAATTTCCAAAGTGTCAAAGTTCCAAAGTTCAGAAGTTGCCGAAGTACTATTATACCTACCCAGTAGAAGAATGAAGAATGTTACACTGTATACAAGTTTAAATAAAAAGTATACACACATAGCCAGGATTCAGCTGTAAGCATTTGCAACACTTACAACAATCAAGTAAACACACATTCATATAAAATGGAAGTTTCTTAGCCAGTCAATGGAATGACAGGAATGAATAAGTAGATAACGCCCTAATTCCCACAGTATTAGGGAGCTATCTAACAAAAGGCATTCCGAAATTCAGGACTTCGGCAATTCCAAACTTCGGTACTTCCGCACTTCCGCAACTTCGGAATTTCAGGACTTCTCTTGCAGCCGCTTACTAGATAACTCCCTAATTCCCACGGTATTAGGGAGTTATCTACCAAAAGGCTGAAAGACCTAAATTGGTCTTTCAGCCAAATTTACTAATACTAAGTAAAGATTACTTAGTATTAGTAAATTATGCCCCTACTCACTATACTGCGAGTAGGGGCATGTCAAGTAAACGGTGAGCAGGGGTGTCCCCCCTCCCGAGCCCCCACCTGTGCCGCACGAATGGGGGCTTCTAACCTGAAGGGGGGGACCTACTGAATGGTGGGTGGGGGCTCTAAAGTAAAATAAGGGGGAACCTATTTTCCTCTCCCCCTCCCCCCAGAGCGGCGGGTGGGGGCCCTAAGTTAGAATAAGGGGGGGACCTATTGTCCTCCCCCTGTCCCCACCCCTGGGCGGCGGGTGGGGGCCCTAAAGTAAAATAAGGGAGGAGGGGGGCCTCTCCAGGACCAAGTGGCAAAGGGCACTTCGTCACAGGTTGAATATTTTCAATTTTGGGCTACAGTCGGCCATTGAACAGGGGCTGGCTTCGGAGGGACACAGTCCTCTCCAAGGATAGGGAGAGGCTGTGGTGGCAGTTTGTCCTTCGCCAGCAAGTGGTAATGAGATCATTGACCGGACGGGCTTGGGGAGTCGCAGACTGGTCTGGTTGAGGATGGACTTCAGGCTGAAGAGGCTCGGGAAGTATAAAGTTATGGTTAGCTGTCTGCTGGAAAAGTCCAGCAGCTGACAGTTGTTTATATTATGCTGGCTTGCTAATAAAAGCTGTGGCTGTTGCCCTTACCCACAATTTGGTTGTCTGTGAGTTATTGGGGTAGCGGAAGGAAAAGGGAGAGGGTCAGCAGTCATGTAGGCAGCAGGGCTCAAGAGGCAGCTGCCTTGGGCCCCCCAGGAGCAACTGGGCCCGGGGCAGCTGCCCCCTTTCCCCCGCATTAAAGACGGTCCTGCCCACATCCCAAGTACAAGCAACAACTGAGATCAGGGCTCACAGAAGAGCCTAAACGGGACTGTAGCATACATCAGGCAGGCGTTGGCTGAACGGAACACCGGCTACTAAAGATGAGTTAATAGCCATATTTCTCATAATGTCTTCACCAGTGACTGTAGGAAACCGATTGCTTCAATTTGTTTAAGTTTAATTCCACGTTATATTTGCAGCATTGTACCTCATGATAGCTACAGTGGTAACCACAACCTAATAACACATGCTTAAGGCCCACACCACACCAGCTGCACCGAGAAGTTACACACCCAACGAGGCAATGTTATAAGCACTGCACTTGAGTGAAATATTGTGTCATTGTTATTTTATGCATTGTTTTTCTCTAAGCTTCAACGGCAAACTTACTAAGTCCACTTATTATGTTATTTCACTAAAAGTCTAACTAACCAGCACACATAACGTCTTTAAGCTACTACAAACCACATACTTAAACCATTTTAATTTCTAGCTCTGTGTTAATAGTGAGCTTGTTACGCTAACTCCTTTCAGCTTGTCTAGCCTGTGTATAACAATTTACAGTACATCATCCTACTCTATATTTTACAAGTATAGATAACCATCCTGACAATATAGTTTAGGAGAAAGTGCAGAAAATCTACTAAGCTAAGCTAGAAACATATAAACATATAATACTTAAATTCATATCGTTATGTTTAAACATGATTTCCCTAAATAACCAAAATGTGCATGTAATTCTAAATACCCTACTGTTTAAAAGAATGAAAATCAGCGTGAGGAATGCCGTTGGGGTACCTCACGCGTGTTGTTATCTTTCTTTGCACCGCAAAAATAAATAACATTAAAAAAAAAAAAAAAGACGCCCCTGCCTGGGAGCCAGAAATCTTTCTGATTGATACTTCTTTCACTCATTGACATGCAAATCAATTTATAACTTTTTTGACATGCATTTTTTTATTTTTTATTTTTGTTATTCTGTTTCTCACTGGTAAATTACACCTACCATTAAAATTATAGACTGATTATATCTGTCAGTGGGCAAACATTCAAAATCAGCAGAGGATCAAAGACTTTTTTTCCCTCACTGTAAGAACCATTCGTCCCATCTAGTCTGCCCAGTTTTCTAAATACTTTCATTAGTCCATGGCCTTACATCATAGCTAGGATAGCCTTATGCCTATCCCACGCATGCTTAAAGTTCTTCACTGTGTTAACCTCTGTCACTTCAGCTGGAAGGCTATTCCATGCATCCACTACCCTCTCAGTAAAGTAATACTTCCTGATATTATATATATATCAGATATACATGGGGCAATATGTAAAGGGACACTATAGTCACCAAAACAACCTTAGCTCATTGAAAGCCGTTTGTATGTATAGATCATGTCCCTGCAGTCTCAATTCTCTACCATTTAGGAGTTAAATCACTTTTGTTTCTGTTTATGCAGCTCTAGCCACCCCTTCCCTGGGTGTGACTCACACAGCCTGCATGAAAAAAAAGTGGTTTTACTTTCAAATAGATATTTACTTACTTTAAAAGTTTTTATCTCCTGCTCTCTAAATTGACCTTTAATCTAATACAGGAGGCTCCTGCAGGGTCTAGCAAGCTATTAACAGAGCAGGGGATAAGAAATTCAGAATGAAACAGAATGTACAATAAAAGAAGAATAAACATTTGATGATTCTTTACAGGAAGTGTTTAGGAAGGCTGTGCAAGTCACATGCAGGGAAGTATGACTAGGGCTACATAAGCAAAGTAATGTAACTTTAAAATGGCAGAGAATTGAAGATTATGCTAGTGCAGTGTACTAATAATCTTCATTTTAATAATGACAGAGTATATATAAGTCCAGGCAAAGCCAATCATTTCCTCTTGGTTAATGCGACATCACAAGTTCCAATGTAACAGATAACGTGTCCGATCCAACTAGAAAACGATAATGGAATTAAGCCTTCCCAGTAATCCATACGACTTGTTAAACTGAAAGGAAAGAGAAAGTAGTATCAGTGATATGGAATGGACCGTATGAAACATATTTTTTATGAGTATTTATATAAACTCTATAATGATTTTGATTATCTGTCGGTTAATATCTTCTAACGTCCATCTACCGTATTATTTACCCTCATAGTCTATATGTAGAAATTTGTACCTGTACTTAGGGTATAATTTGGTAACAATTACATATTCCCTTAAATCTAATTTACCTGAGACGAGGGTGGGAACATCAAGAAGAAGAAAGGGAGGGAAAATACTCGCCTCCTGTGATTATTAAAATTAAGATTATTAGTACACTGCGACAGGAGGGTTCGTATTTTGCAATTTTAACACCTAGGCAAAAGAGAAAATGCGGCATTAGAAGACTGGTGGAAATAGAACGTTCGAAAGGTCGATTCTCGGGACCAGTCTGCCGCTTGTAAGATAGCGACGAGCCTGCTAAAAAAGCTGACAACGCCGCTGCTCCTCTCACGGAGTGAGTTCCGAAGGACGGGTCCACTCCTGCGAGGGTGAGGAGCCATTTAATCCATCTGGATAATGTAATGGTCGAGACTGGACCGTGAGGATTAACGTATGAAATCAATAATTGTCGGGAGGTTGGCCGATATAGTGCTTCCGTTGCCTCAAAGCCCTATCTACACATAGTTGGGGTTCTGATGTGAAGAACGGGTAGAAAATTTATGTTGAGTCGGTTTTGGTTCGTCTTGAGATTCGGAATGTGACCCCTTCCGGGCTGATAGTAAATGCATCTGAGTCGAAAGCTTGTATGTCTGAGACTCGACGAAATGAGACGAGGCACAGTAAGAAGGTAAATTTCACTGACAGTTGTCTTAAAGATAGTCGTTCAGGGGGCGGGGCCTGGCCGCCGAGCTGGGTGGACGTGGGGCGCCTCGGCTCCCTGACAAACCCGCAATAACCAGCTTCAAAATGCCCCTACTCGCGTGGAAAACCCTCAGCTGCTGTGAGAGGGCAAAGGGAACCCAACCACCAACCTTCGGGGCAAGTACCAGCCCCCACTCCGCTGGCGATGCGATCTGGTGGGCGAGTGGGATTGCGGCCTGCTGTGAGGCCCTGGCGGGAGAAGCGGCCGATCTCCCGTGCTTGGTCCGGCAGGACTTCCCGCCGCCTGCTAAAGGCCCCGTTAACCCCCCCGTGGGCCGGGGGGGTTATCCCGGACCCCACCGGGGACGCAGCGCTCGTTCAGGGCACACAGGCTGCAGGAGGACTGACTGGGGACCGCATGGGAAAATCCAAGATGACTGCCGCGCTCATTGTGAGACGGAGAAGTGAGGGGGAAGTACCTAAGCAACTGCAGACAGACTGAGTGCTCCTGCAACCAACAGGATAACTGCATGAGGGGTATACTCCACAAGCAAGCCCAGCTCAGCATAATAACACTCACACCAACAGTGGCATCACCTCCCATTAATACCAGTGGATATAAGGGGACTCTCTCTGGACTCTGACTCTGCCTGAGTACAAGGTAACAACGAAAATGGGGAACAAGCTTCACTCCACTCCTAACTGTCAAGCCCCCGCACACTAAAACAACCAGCTACAAGCACAGGTTTAGCACAGCTGCAAGAGGGATCAAGCGACTTCTAACCACATATGCCTACAGAGATATGGTGTACCTCTTAATCCAGCACCTCATCCACAATTTAAATGTGTGTCTTTTGCATCGGACTCTCTTCCTGCAGTTAGAAAGTAATCAAAATGTCTGAGCCTGCATGTGTGTCCGACGCTCTGCTGCCCCCTGGTGGTTAAACTTACTTAAGCTTAAAGAAACCTGTTCTTGATGATGACCCTAGCTTCTGTTTTAATGGCAAAAATATGCTCACTGTTTTGTTTCTCACATATATGCCTAGCACAAATGCCGATTTAGACAGGTTAAGCATCAACTATCTCGCTGTATTTTATCTAACTTCACGCTAACGATATAACTATCGTTTAGCCAAGCTTGCTAAAAATATAAAAATGTGCAGACTCTCATGCCACTGGTCTGTTGATTCCTTGTACCCACCTGCACAGCAAAAATAAAGAATAAAAAAAAAAAAAAAAAAAGATAGTTGTTCATTCTGAGGACATTCCTTCAGGAATGTAAGTACCTTCTCCACATCCCAGAGGTGTTGGTATTTGGGTGCTGAGGGACGTCTCAACTTGATGCCCCGTAGTAACCGGCAAATCAAAGGGTCTTGACCGATTGCTCTCCCTTGGGATGGAACGTGGGCTGCTGATATAACCGATCTGATGACATTGATAGTGCGGTATGATTTACGTTCTTCGAAGATGGAAGAAAGGAACTCAACTTTCATTATCTCGGAAACAGGAGCTGTAAAGGGATTCAAGTCCCGTCCCACGCACCAACTGTTCCAAGTTCTCCATGCAGATAGGTAACTCTTTCTAGTCCCTGGAGCCCATGAGTCCCACAGCAGGTCCTTAGTTGTAGACAATAGTTCGTGGGTGTCCCATGCACCCCTAAAGGAGTTCAGGCTACCAGGGTTAATCGGTCGTCCAGAAGCATGGGATGTGGGTCGGTCGGCAGGAGGATTGGATCTTCGCACGAAAGTTCGAGAAGGTCCGGGAACCAGGGTTGACTCTGCCATAGTGGTGTCAGTAGTGTTAGCATCACCTCTCATCGTCGGATGTGATGAAGTACTCTCGCAATCATGTCTGGGCCAGTGTTGGGTGAAGGCATCCACTGCCACGAATTCTGGATCAGGGAGCCAGCTGTAATGCAAAGAGGTCGAGGATGAATGGGCCTCTCCATTCGTTCAGATGGGCGAATATCTGTGTGTCTATTTGCCAGTCGCTGGCATCCCTCCAATGTCGGGAGTACCAGTCTTCGGTGAGGTTCGATTCCCCTGGTAGATGTTTGGCCCTGATCGAGATATTGCTTGGGAGGCAATAGTTGTCGAAGAGAGATGGTCTTCGTCAAATCGGCTGGTGTTTGGGAGCCAGTTCCTCCAAAATGGTTGATGTATCGTACTGCAGAGACGTTGTCCATCCGCAGTAGGATGCAGCAATTGGATTGTCCTTTCGCCAGGCTTCGAATGGCGAAGGATCCGGCCAATAGTTCGAGACAATTGATGTGCATGGTGAGTTCCTGATTCGTCCAGGTACCACCCGTGGATGCGTTCCCATCTGTGGCGCCCCATCCCCATCGGCTTGCATCCGATTCTAGGATGAAGTCCGGGTGGTTGCCAAAGATGGCAATTCCATGCTTGCATGCAGGTGACCATTTGAGTTC